AAATCTCCCCCCAGTATAGTATGCTAACCCATACCAGTATAATATGCTAACCCCTACCAGTATAGTATGTTTAACCCACTACCAGTATAGTATGCTAACCCACTACCAGTATAGTATGCAAACCCCCCTACCAGTATAGTATGCTAACCCACTTACCAGTAATAGTATGCTAACCCCCTACCAGTATAGTATGCTAACCCACTACCAGTATAGTATGCAAACCCCCTACCGTATAGTATCTCCCCCCTCCCAGTATAGTATCTAACCCCTACCGAAAGTATCCCAAACCCACTACCGTATAGTATTAACCCCCCTACCAGTATAGTATGCAAACCCCCCTACCAGTATTAGCAAACCCCACTACCAGTATGTTTTAAACCCCCCGGGTTTTGTGCTAACCCCTACCAGTATATAGTAATCCCTTTTCCCCCTACCGTATAGTATGCTAACCCCCTACCATATGTATGCTAACCCCCTACCGTATAGTATGCAAACCCCACACCGTATAGTTGCAAACCCCCTCCCGAAAATATTTCTAAACCCCCCTCCCATATAGTATGCTCCCCCCCTTCCCGTATAGTTGCTAACCCCTACCAGAAGTATGCTAACCCATACCATATAGTATGCTAACCACTACCAGTATAGTATGCTAACCCCCTCCCAGTATAGTTGCAAACCCCCAACCAGTATTGTATGCAAACCCACTACCGGGGATAGTATGTTTAACCCCCTACCTATAGTATGCTAACCCCCTACCGGATAGTATGTTTTAACCCCCTACCAGTATGTATGCAAACCCACACCAGTTAGTATGCAAACCCCTACCTTGTTGCAACCCCTACAGTTATAGTTTTGCAACCCCCCCCCGTATAGTATGCTAACCCACTCCAGTATGTATGCAACCCCCTCCAGTATAGTAGCTAACCCACTACCGTATAGTATTAAACCCCCTCCCAGTATGTTGCAAAACCCCTACCAGATAGTTGCAAAACCCACTACCAGTTAGTTGTAACCCCTACCAGTATGGGCCCCAAAAAAGGATAAACCCCCTCCAGTTAGTATCTAACCCCTACGGGATGTTGCTAACCCATACCATAAGTATGCAACCCCATACCTATAGTATGCTAACCCCCTACCATATGTATGCTAACCCAACATATGTTGTTTCCCCCTACCAGTATAGTATGCTAACCCCCCCCATTTTTTTTTATGCAACCCCTACCATTTTAAGTATGCTAACCCCCTACCAGTAAGTATCTAACCCCCTACCGTATAGTATGCAAAACCCACTACCATTTGTATGTAACCCACTACCAGTATATTTTGCTCCCCCACTCCCTTATAGATGCAAACCCCTACCAGTATAGTATGTAACCCCTACCGTTTTTAGTATGCTAACCCCTACCATTTTAAATATGCTAACCCCCTACCAGTTAGTATGCAAACCCCTACCGTATATATGAAACCCCACTACCGTATAGTATGCTAACCCCCCCAGTATAGTATGCTAACCCACTACCAGTATAGTTGTACCCCTCCGTATAGTATGCAAACCCACTACCATAAGTATGCAAACCCACTCCCATTAGTTTCTACCCCCTCCCAATAGTACAAACCCCCCTACCAGTTATTTTGCTACCCATTCCAGTATATTGAACCCACTACCAGTATAGTATGCTAACCCCCCCCATTATAGCTAACCACCCCGTTAGTATGCAAACCCCCAATACCTTTATGTTGCAAACCCCACTACCAGTATGTATGCTAACCCACTACGTAAGTTGCTAACCCCCTACCATATGATGAACCCCCTACCAATAAATTTGCTAAAACCCAAAACAAAACCCCTTTTATAGTATGCAACCCACACCAGAATATGCAAAACCCCACCAGTATAGTATCCCCCCTAAAAAACCCCAACCCAGTTGTAAAAACCCCACA